AGGGGTGGAAGGGCTGAGAAACAGGGTAATTCTGTGTTTACTTTTTGAGGAAATGCCAAACGGTTTCCCACAGTGACTACACCATTATATTCCTACCAACAATATATGAGAGTTTCAATTTCTTCATATCCTTGTCACCACTGGTTATTTTCTGTTTTCTTATTTTTTTCTTTTTTAAAATTATTAAAGCCATCCCAGTGGGAGGGAAGTGGTATCTCACTGTGGTTTTGATTTGCATTTCTTTAATGCCCAATGATTGCTAAACATCTTTTCATGCGCTTGTTGACCATTTGTATATCTTCTCAGAGAAATGTCTGTCCAGGTCCTTTGCCCATTTTTAAATTGGGTTGTTTGCCTTTTTGTCGTTGAATGTAAGAGTTCCTTATATATTCTGGATATTAAATCCTTATCAGATAAATAATGTGCAAATATTTACTCTCACCCTTTGTCTTTTTTACATTTATAATAATGTCCTTTGATACAAAAAAGCTTTTAATTTGATGAAGTTCCAATTATTTATATTTTCTTTTGTTGGCCATACTTTTGATGTCAAATCTAAGAATATACAGCCAAATCCAAGGTCATAAAGTTTTTATTTTTTAATTTTTTTTCTTGGTGGCTAGCCGGTATGGAGATCTGAACCCTGGACCAAGCTTGGTGTTATTCCTAGTTTGTTATATAAATGAAATTACCGGCCAGCCCCAAGGTCATAAAGACCTTCCTCTAAGTTTTCTTCTATAGTTAGAGCATTGATCCATTTTTGAGTTAATTTTTGTGTGGTAGAGGTTCAACTTCATTCTTTTGCATGCAGTTATCCAGTTGTTCCAGAACCTTTTGCAGAGATTATTCTTTCTCCATTGACTATGGATGGTTACAGCACCCTTGTTGAAAATCAATCACCCATAAATGTTTGGGTTTATTTCTGAACTTTCAATTCTATTTCATTGTTCTATATATCTATACTTGTGCTTATACCACACTATCTTAATTGCTGTAACTTTCTAGTAAGTTTTGAAATTGGGAAGTGTGAATCCTCTGACTTTGTTTTTCCTTTTCAATACTGTTTTGGCTATTCAGGGCCCCTTGCACTCCATATAAATTTGAGGACTGTCTTTTCCATTTCTACAAAAAATGTCATTGGAGTTTTGATACAAACTACATTAAATCGGTAGAACACTTAGGGAATATTACAATATTAGCAATATGAAATCTTCCAATCCATGAACGTTTATTATTTTTATTTATTTAGGTCACCTTTAATTTCTTTCAGTAATGTTTTATAGTTTTCAGTGTACAAGTCTTTAACCCCTTTGGTTAAGTTTATTCCTAGGTATTTTACTCTTTGGAGACTATTGCAGTTGACATTGTTTTCTTAATTTTCTTTTTGGATCATTCACTGATGGAGCAAAAAACACAAAAATAAGTTGTGTTTTTAATCTTGTCCTATAACTGCTGAATTAGTTTATTAGCTCTAGTAGTTTTTTTGTGTGTGTGAATTCTATGGGATTTTCTATATATAATCATGTCATCTGCAAATAGAGGTAATCTTAATTTTTCTTTTTCAATTTGGATGCCTTTTTTCTTTTTCTTACCTAATTTCTCTGGCTATGACTTTCAGTATAATGGTGAATAACAGTATTTGAAAGTGGGCATCCTTGTCTTGTTTCTGATTAGGCGGGGAACCTTCTGGTTTTTCATCATTAAGTATGATATTAGCTGTAGGTTTTTCACAAATGCTATCAAGTTACATAAGTTCCCTTCTATTCCTAGTTTGCTGAGTGTTTTGTTTATTTTTTAGTCACAAAAGGGTGTTGAATTTTGTCAAATGCTTTCTCTGTGTCTATTGAAATGATCATGTGGTTTTTTCCCCTTCATTTTATTTTACTTTTTTGGTTAGTCTTCAAGGCATTAAGAATAGTAACATTAGACAATTTAATTTCCAAAGAAATATACACTAACACTGTTCTTTTCTTAATTGTTAAAAGAGCTACATTATTAATCAGTTGGCGTTTTCTTATGCAAACAGAAAGCAAGCACACACAAACAAAGTATAAAGGCCAATCACTAGAGCTAGCTATCTTTGGAGTTACTATCCTAGAGAAAATATCTACAACAACATCTGCTTCAGTTACATATACAAAGCATTTCATAAAATATTAAGGAGAAAAGCAAGCTTCATAAATAATTAAAGTTTAACAAAAGCTCCTAGGGCCATCTTTTCCATTTAGGAGATGAAAGATATGGAGAATTTATTTTGTGGGAAGATAAATATTTTCAACAAAAGACAAAGTAATAACAATGGTGTAGAGTAAAAAATCTAAAGAGTTTCAAACTTCTCTTTGGGTTATCAAATCACTTGGCTGTTTTCAACAGTATAACAACAGCAGCATAACAAGTTCTTTGTAACAGAAAAGCACATGGTATAAAACTTGTAGGTGTGAGCTCTTCTGGTACTTGGAACAAAAGGGCATATCTCCTAGATACATCATTCTTATTAAATTTTTATTCCTACCTAAACATAAAAGCATCTCATTTATTCATCATCCCTAGGGTGTAAGAAACTCATATGAGTGAATGCAGAAAATGAAATCTTATCTCTTAATGTGTCCAAACTAGTTCACAAATTCTTAATTCATTACCTATTAAAATCATTTAAGCGAAAGAGATAATACAGTAGAAGAGAATAGAAAGCACTACGTGTGAGTGCGTGATCTCAGGCAAGCCACATAAACGTCCTATGTTTTCCTCTCCATAAAATGAGCATGGTAATATCAACCTCATGGAATTCAAGATATAAAATGTGCTGAAAACTCCTAGGAAATTGTGAAGTGCACATAAAATATTAGCTATTCGTTACGACTATATGTCTAACCTGTTTTATAAACTAAGGATAGTGTATCCAATGTAACGTATTCTTGGAAAATGAAATTTCAAAAAATGTTGTCAGAGGATAACCTTCCTAATAAAATTAGAGTAAGTATACTAGAATAAAAATAAAATACAATTTCTAATATAATTAAAAATAGAAAATGTGACCCTACCACATACTCCCACTGAATGGAAACTACAAAACTCACTTGTAAGTAATTCACAGGTTAATGAGGGTAAAAAAAATGTAAAAATAACAACAAAAGCCCTACATATCACAGAATGCAGTTAAAGCAGAAAAAAAAAATTTTTTTTTTTAGCCTTAATGGATTTACTTGAAAACATGAATGACTGAAAATACAGGACCTGCATAGAGAAAGAAGCTTGAAAAAGAACAAGAACAAAAACTTGAAAAAGAACAAGAACAAAAACTGTAAGAAAGTAGAAAGAAATAATGCAGATAAAGGCAAAAATTAAGGTAATATAAATAACAACATTGAGAAGCAGGACAAAAGCTGGCTCTTGGCAAAGATTAATAAAATAGACTGCTAAGTCTGATCAAAATAAGAGAAAGTATAAACAGTATTAGAAACAAAAAGAGAGACAACAATACAGGCAAACAAGTTTATAAGTCTATTTATGCTATCAAATTTGATAACTTAAATGAAATAGACAAACTGTCTAGGAAAATGTAAGTTAACGAAATGTACTGAAAAGGAAACAGAAAACCTGAATGGACCAATAAATGTAAAAAATTTGATCACTACTCAAAAATCAACCACTCCATAGAAAGAAGAAAGCCAAGATGTTTTTATAGACTTCTTTTTTTCAACATTCTCTTTAAAAAAAATTTGAATATACATACATTAAAATCAAAAGAATTATATAGTAAACACCTATATATTCACCACCTAGATTCTGCATTTAACATTTTACTACATTTTCTTTCATCTGTCCTTCTTTCTACACATCAATCTTTTTATACCTTTTATTGTATCCTGTAGGGTAAAATATAGGAAAATAGATATATGACAGGACTTCAAACCACCAGGTTGGTGATCTTTACATTTTTATATCAACTTAGCATTTTTAATGTTTTTCTAAAAATAGAATTGGGAGCTCTGGTACATTGAAAACAAGAATATATATGAAAGTACTTCAAAAAGTTCATGGAAAGATTCATATTATCTTTTAATTCTATTCTTCCACAAACTTTTTGAAGTACCTTTGCATATAAGGAGGCATTCAGGATGAAGAGTCTGTACCCCTTTTCCTTCCCATCTTTGAACACAGTCTTGTGAAGATGGATACCCTGATCCCTTTGCAAACAGTTTCTAATGGTATTAGCCAGTTCCCACTCTCCATGCCGTAAAAGAGAATTGAACTGCATCTTTTAATGTAGCAGTTACAAAATGCATTATTTTTACAAACACATGCATTCAGTCAGGAAATATTTACTATGCATTTAATTTATCAGGTAGAAATAACATTTACTAATCACAGAAACAATTTGTCTTCCAAAGGATAGTTTCACCACTATAAAACATTTTAATCTACCAGATCTTAAAGTGAAGCAAATACATTTATTTTCTCTGTACAAGTGTAACATGTCAGCAAAGTTGATGGATCACAACAATTTTAAACGAAAATACTACTATCAAAGAATGACAGCTATAGAAAGTTAGGTTTAATTTGTAAAAAACAAGATACTGTAGTATTGATTTTTTAATCAATTATAAAATGCTACTCTCTCCTTTGTGCTCCTTTATTCTTTGCACTGACACAGGACTTTGTTGTTCCCCCATATGACTGAGCTGGGTACATCCAAAATTCATTTGAATGGAAGATAAAACTCTTTAAACCATTCTTCTTAAAGGCAATGCACATAGCAATGGGCTGACGTTCTGAGGTGGCTTGTATTATCACCTCCCTTTTCACTCATAGTGCCACCTTCAGCAACTCTTTGACAGGAACAGAACATCCTCCAACTGTGTTAGAAGGAATGCTGTTTCCAGGAATTTTTCCTTTAAAGAAGTCTTCTAATATCATTGGTACCTTCATTTTTTTTGTAAGCAAAAACACTTTATATTCTAAGATGGATAACACCACATATTGCACTAAAGGTAACTTACCTTGCTGGAGTTTTCTAATAAAAACTGGAATGTGTTCTGCACAGCTTGGCATGTTTCTAGCTCAGTCCGGCTGAAGGCTATTAAATAATCCTTGAGGTGATCATACACATTTCCATCAAGAGCCTGTAATAGAGGAGTAAACAAAAAATTATAATAAAGCTTTGACACAAATGCCTTTCCTGCAAGGAAAGCAGGAATTTTCAGTTTAAAATCTATTATCAGTAATAAATGGACAAATGATACAGGTTGTCATATGAGTCAATCTAAACAGTTAACAACCACTTGGGAAACTTTTGAATCTCTCTAATAAAGAAGAACTAAAAAGGGTAAAATCAAGTATTGGTAAAGCTGTGAAAAAACAGGACACAACTTGGAGACAAAATGCCTGGGTTCTGATGTTTGTTCATTTGCTTATTAGCTTCTGTAGTCCTTTCATAACAGAGTAGGTATAGGAGTTAAATGAAATAATGAATGTGAAAGGATCCAGGCAGTGTCAGGAACAGAGTCAACAATCAATAAACATTAATTACCTCCATTTTTCTTCACCCATTTTTGATAGGATTATAAATTAGTATATATTTACTAAAGAGCAATCAGAGAAAAAACACAATAGAAACATTTAAAAAAAGAAAAGTGACTCAGATACTGTTTGGGGGAAGAAACACCAATGCAATATCTATGAAGGGTTTTAAACATCCTTACTTGTTTAAACACTTATATCAGGACTCTCTGAAACTAAAAAAGGAAAGAAGAGAAAACCACCGAACATTTGAGGAATGATTAAGCTTTGACGTATATAGTCATTAAAACATACACAGCCACCAAAATAAAAATTGTAAAAACTGTAGATGAAAAGTATGTATCAAATAATTTGAAGTTAAAAAAAGGCAGAACAAATAGAATTCATACATACTAGCAACAACTATGAGAAAAATATATCTATAATAATAATAAAAAAAGGTTCTAGAGTCTTGCCAATCAATGCAGGTTTTCTTAAAAATTAACATAAAATTAAAATTCACCCAATATAAAAGTCGCCATTTTAATAATTCTAAAGTGTATAGTTCAGTGGCTTTTAGGATATTCATAGTGTGCAAAAGACACCTCTACCTAATTCCAAAACATTTGCACCATTCCCTACAAAAAACCCATACCAATTAAGTAGTCACTCTCTATACTTCAGCGAGTATACCCCAGCCCCTGGCAACCATTAATCTACTTTCTATCTCTATGTATTTGCCTATTCTGGATATTTCATATAAATGGAATCATATAATATGTGGCCTTTTGTGCCTGGCTTCTATCACTTAGCCTAATGTTTTCAAGGTTCATCAATCTAACAGTACTTCATTCCTTTTTACAACTTAATAATATTCCATCATACAGACATACCACATTTGTTTATCCATTACAAATAATATTCCATCATACAGACATACCACATTTACAACTTAATAATATTCCATCATACAGACATACCACATTTGTTTATCCATTCATCACTTGATGGAAAATAGTTTTCCACTTTTTGGCTATTATGAATAAGCCTGCTATAAACATTCACATACAAGTTTTTGTTTGAATATGTATTTCCATTTCTCTTGGGAATACACCTAAGAATGGGAATAGCTGGGTCATAAGGTAATTCTATGTTTAACTATTTGAGGAACTATGAAATTTTCTATAACGGCTGCACCATTTACTCCCCAACAGCAATGTATGAGGCTTCCAATTTCTCCACATCCTTGCTAACACTTGTTATTTTCTGGTTTTTTGGTGTTTTGTTTTTTCAATTATGAAAGCCATCCCAGTGGGTGGGAAATGGTATCTCATGGTTTTGATTTGCGTTTCTCTAATACTTAATGATATTGAACATCTTTTCATGTGCTTATTGGCCATTTGTGTATCTTCTTTGGAGAAATGTTTATTCAAGTCCTTGACCCATTTTTTAATTAGGTTGTCTTTTTGTTGTTGAGTTGTAAGAGTTCTTTATATATTCTGGACACTAGACTCTTACAAGATATAAATGTTGTAAATATTTTCTCCCATTTTGTGAGCTGTCTTTTCACTTTCCTGATAGTGTCTAACTTAGCTATTTTTTCTTTTGTTGCTCGTGTGTTGGTGTTATATACAAGAATCCTCAGTGGAGGTCTTATAATAAATTCTTTCTGTATCTTATGTTTGTCTATTACATTAAACTTTTACTTATAAAACCATTTTTTTTAAAAAACACAAATTTTTAAAAATCCCAAAGTGTTGAGTAATAAAGCTGCACCTTCTATAGAGTTTAAACCACTAGATGGCACCACTGAGCACTTTAAATACAGGCAGTGTAAATACCTTTAATATGATTTCCATGTAGTTATGTAACATCACCAGAGAAATCTCTGGTGTTAAGTCTGAATAAAAATTCCTACTTTAGGACATGCTTTTCATGAACTTATTTTAAAAAGAAGCATATAATTTCTGATACAAGGTTTTTGCCTTAGACAGGCTCTTAGTAGATTAGATTATAACCTTGCATTTGCAGGAAACCACTGGAGTATTTTACTTAAATACAGTAAATGGTATTATAGACATCATGAGCTCAAAAAAAGAACTCACACTTTTTAAGGTGAATCAAACACCCACACAGTTTCTATGAATCTCACTGCAATATAAACTGAGTACCCATTGTGTCTGGGCATTGTGGAGGAGGCAAACTGTACTAGCAATGTGGAGGAGGCAGATTAAGAAAAAGAAACCAAAGTCCTCTTGTTACTTCTGTTTTTGACTGTACTATAATTAGGATTACTTCTGATTAAAGACAATATTTCTCACTAGAGGAATTATACTACTGATTCTGATCTAAGTATGTTACAAACCAGGAATTATACATTAACTCAGCTTCTTAAATTCCACTTTAAAAATTCTGAACACTTTATAAAGACACTTGAGAAGTAATGTTGTTACAGTACACTTCATTTTAGCTATAAAACATATAGTCATGAATCACTTTACAATGGAAATGTGTTCTGAGAAATGCATTGTTAGGCGATTCTGTCACTGTGTGACCATCAAAGTGTGTACTTACACAAACCTGGATGGTATAGCTTACTATACACCAAGGCTATATGGTATAGCCTATTGCTCTGACCACTATCTTATATGTGGTCCTTCATTGACCAAAACATTGCTATGTGGCACATGACTATATTGCCTAATTGGGTCATGACATAACTGACACACGAATCCTAGGGTCTATCAGCAGACACAATAATCTAAAGTTGGCTGCAACACCTTACCAAGTGAGAGTTGTTTAGAAATACTAATCTTTTGTTGATAGCTTTGAATTTAGATGTGTGAATATCTTTGTTCACTTAAATCTGAAAAATGTCAAACAGAATTATAGATGTGAATTATTTAAGATTATAGTTAAAAATAATAATAATAAAGCATGGCAACTTGGTGAACAAGCAGTACCTAAACTGCTTATACTAAAAGATTTACTTATGTGATATGAAAATCAATACACTAGTCCCCCAACTCCCACCTTTTGACCAGAGGATGAGAGGTACCCTCTGAGGTTACGAAAAACAAAAACAGTCTGTTAGCCAATAGCTCAAGATTTGGTCAATGTGGTCAATCCTGAAATCCTGTTGTAGTAGTAGAAGAATTCTGGGTCAATGCTATTTTTTGTTGTTGTTATTTTAAATTTTTATCAAACTGACTTAAATTTTGACCATACACTATTTCCCTCCCCTGACTTTCAAAGCTATACATCAATGCCTGTTAGACTGAACAATTCTCTTTTCTACCTGTTTTTCTTTTTGTGTTCCTTGCTCAGTGCGTGATGCTACTATACATTCACCTGCCTGCGGCAGAAACATAGAATTCAAGGTTTACGTTTCCCTCTGCCTTACCCCCAACATCCAGTTATTATTAAATATTGTTGATTCTACTTACTAAATATTTATCAAATCCAACACCTTCTCCTAATCTCCACAGCTACTTCCCTCTTGCCATCCTGTCTCATCTGGATTATTGCAGCAATCTCCTGTCGCCCTGCATCCAGTTGTCTCTCCCACCAATCCATTTCCACACTGCAGCTAGGAGGATGTTTCTGTATTTTTTTTCACTATTTTCCTCTATATTTAATAACTTATTTGACTCACAATAAATATGAGTATTAAGTACAGAAGTTAAGTCACATTCTCCATCCTACATCAGAGGAAATTTTTGGTCATTCATTAATTACACCAAAGCCTCATTCTTCTATATTGCACTTCTTGATTCTTCTTTGACACCTATGTACAAAATCTTGGTATCAGAGCAAAACAACAGCATCACATATAAAGAATAATACAGACAAACATGCCTGGTCAACGCAGACATGGATATCTTTAAAAAATGCTAGCTAACCTGCTAGCTAATTTTGCACAAGCAGGTACACTCGATACCATCCAAGGGAATGGGCATGATGACCTCATTCATCAATAACATCTCGGAGCACACTGTCTGCAAAGCATTCTAGGAGGATGTTTCTAAACTGCATATTTTACTTGACTGCTCAACACTGTTCACTGACTCCCCATCGCATTTAGGATACAGTTAAAAAAAAATCATCACGGACCGCATGATCTGGACTTGTCTTGCCTCTTCAGTGTCTTCACTTATTACTCCTCATTTCCCTTCCCCATAACGCTTTCACTACAATGTGCATTTTTTCGTTCCTCCAGTACTCCTTTTTAGCCTCTGAGCTTTCACACAGGCTTTTTCTCTGCCTTGACTACTCTTGTTCAATCTCCCTTGGTCTGGTTCACTCTTACTCATCCTTAAGATCTTCATTTAATCATTATCTATTTTGAATATTGTTCTTGGATTTTTGCTTCATAACTTCGGTTCATAGCAAATAATCTCATGCTGGTGATGCTTGTTTGTCTGTCTCTCCTTTTGGTTTTTATGTTCCGTGAAGGGAGGGATCACATCTGTCTGCTTACCCATTGCATCTTCTGTGCTGATTACAGGGTTTGATATACTGGTAGTGCTCAATAAATATATGTTCAACAAACATACCGATCAAAATCCACAGGCTAAAAAAATATAAATAAACTCACGCTTGAGCTCCATGACTTAAAGTACGC